GTGCCTGGTTACAGTGAGGCATTCAGGTCGTTGAGTGACTGCATATGGATAAGTCATCTCGAAGGCTATCACAAAAGGATTTCGTGGCATGCCTATGTGATGGTGAAAATGAGAATATGATGATAATTAAGCTGAGACTTAACGGTACACGAGTATGGCTCTTTCACAGTGATGGCATTTGGATTATAACTGAAGTGAGTATAAGAAGTTGGACACTGGTTTTTGTAAAATGGTGTTGCTGGTATAAAATATTCAACAAATATCAATTTTGGAGATGAGAAGGAAGATAAATGTTTTAAGCAATCGAATTAGGCTTCAGTATCTAGAAAATTTATTTTAGTTTTTTCCAGGTATTGCGTTATTTTAGTTATATGTGACTGCATATGGATAAGTCAACTCGAAAGTTATCACAAAAGGATTTCGTGGCATGCCTATGTGATGGTGAAAATGAGAATATGATGATAATTAAACTGAGACTTAACGGTACACCTGTACGGCTCTTTCCCAGTGATAGCATTTGGATTATAACTCAAGTGCATATAAGAAGTTCGACATTTTTTGTAAAATGGTGTTGTTGCTATAAATTATATATCAAATATCACCTTCAGGGTTGAGAAGGAAAATAAATGTTTTAAGCAATGGAATTATGCTTCAGTATACAGAAAGTTTATTTTAGGTATTTCCAGCTGTTATGACATTGTAGTTATATGAGTACTAACAAAGGTCTTTTTCATTTGCCGATTTATGAAAGACTTGTTTAAAAATTTGTATATTCTCAAATTTAAATGGATTCTTCAAATTTTTCAGTAATGATTAGGGTTTGCAATCAACTATCAAATATTAATGCTAAAATGACAAAAATACTTTATTAAATAAAAAATAATATATTGAAAGAGAATAAAAAAACATTAAAGAAGTTATTGCTGTATTTTCGGATTTTTGAAACATATTATGAACAATGTGCATAAATTAACATGAAATGAATTATGTTTAAAAAATAAAGGATTTCTTAAGTGATGTAAATTTTATATGTTTACATGTTGAAATAAAAATAAAAGATTCACAACTTTACAGTTTTTTGAAAAAAAGGTATTACCATTTGTTTTTCATTATACTTAAATTACAAGCTGTATTCAATTTTAATATTATGATATTTAAAATATTTTAATTATTTTATTTATTATATGAAAAATATGTTTTCTAGATTCTGAAAAATATGTGAAATTGTTTTAGTTTTTCATTTTGAAAATTTAAGAATACATAATCAATTGAACCAACAACACAAAAAATCAAAATTCTTAAAACTTTTACAAAAATTATTAGTAAGGAATTCAAATATGTCATTAAAATATATTAATTTCGTCAATCAGTTAAAATATCAAAATACATTTTAATTACGCTTATTTATTATATGTAAAAATATGTTTTCAAGATTCATAAAAATATGTGAAATTGCTTTACTTATTCATTTTGAAAAACAAACAATACATAACCAATCTAAATAACAATACATGGAATCGAAATTCTTGAAAATTTTTTTTTTTTTTAAATTATTAATAAGGAATTGAAATATGTCATAAAATATATTAAATATCGAAATACATTCATTAAAATACTATTGAATCTATTTCAGTCACAATTGCAAACACAGATCTTGATTTAGGACACCATTCGGAAGACAAATCATCGGTATTTTTGAAGACGCTACAAGGAATGTCATGTACCCAATCTATTTGAAACCTCGAATGATTCCAAAGAAGAATCTTGAAACTCATTATCTACCATCCGAACCCTATTATATGTAATTAATTATTACATGTAACCGACTTATATGTAAAACTATGTTTTTTAGATTCATAAAAAATATGTGAAATTGTTTTGCATATTCATTTTGAAAAAACAACAGTACATATACAATACAACCAACAATACACAAAATCAAAATTCTTGGAAATTTTTAAAAATTATTAGTAAGAAATTGAAATATGTCATAAAATATATTAAATATCGAAATACATTCATTAAAATACTATAGAATCTATTTCAGTCACAATTGCAAGCACAGATCTTGATTTAGGACACCATTCGGAAGACAAATCATCGGTATTTTTGAAGTCGCTGCGAGGAATGCCATGTACCCAATCTATTTGAAACCTCGAATGATTCCCAGAAAGAATCTTGAAACTCATTATCTACCATCCGAACCGCCTGCGCCTAATGCTTCAGGAGATTCCTAAGCAGCATATTCAAGTCGCCATATACATCTTGCCCCGCAAAGATTCTGTTGGACGTTATTCAGGCTAAAATAATAATTTTCATTTCCGCGTTTAAATGAGGAAACAGTCGGGGGTCTGCTTCTGAGATTGGAAAGGGGAGGGATCTCCATGGCAACAAACAAAGCGGCATTAGAAATTATTTATAGCAGAATGGGCAAGGAATCATTATGAGTAACTTTATTGTTGATCCTTTACCATTTATTCGAGCCTTTGGTGACAAATAAAGTTCCTAATGAAAGGATTTTAAAATAATTATTTGCTAACCACAATATCTATAGATACGACAAAACCTAATACAATATATTGCAACACAAAATCATTGTCTAGAATCCTACAATTATTGCCAACGAATTTTATACTTTTTTTAATTAAAAAACGCATTAAAAATCCATATATATTCTACAGCATCATTATATAAAATTATTTTTTTGCTTTACAAGTAGAGAAATCAAATAAACTACATCAATAAAGACCTTATACCATCTAGTGTTATATTAAGTTCTACATTTTACATCTAGTATTACACGAGATTCTACATTTTGCATCTAGTATTACACTACATTTTACATCTAGTATTACACGAGATTCTACATTTTGCATCTAGTATTACACTAAATTCTACATTTTACATCTAGTATTACACGAGATTCTACATTTTGCATCTAGTATTACATTTAATTCTACATTTTACATCTAGTATTACACGAGATTCTACATTTTGCATCTAGTATTACACTTAATTCTACATTTTACAAGTTGATGTTCTCATTACATTGAATTTTTAATTCTGTAGGTTAGTTGTTAAGTTTACAATTATTACAATTTTGACTGTTAAGTTTATTTCTACTTAATAACCATATAACATTCTCAAGAAATTTTACATTTTTGATTGAAAAACTTTGAAATTACTAATATCTGCCATTTTTTTTTTTTTTTTTTTTTTTTTTTTTAGAAACTATAAATGAAAATTTTTATTTAAAGACTTATAAATTTAAATAACAAAGTGGATAGTTTTAATGTAATTTTACGTTCTATTAATCTGCTATTAATTAAAATTATTTTAATTTAATAAAAATATTAAATTTTATGGACATAAGTGAGAAGAAAGTGGAAATTGTTCTTGAGATTGGAAAAGAAAAGAAGTGTCACAACATTAAGCAAAGAGAATTTATACATTGATTTATACATTTTTTATAGAATAGTAATAGATGATCCCTATACGTAGTTTCTTTTTTATGTTTTAACAATAAATCCCTGTCTTTGTTGTTGAAAATAATTTTTTAACTAATATACTTCACATTAATTATTTATTAAAATAAATCTTATTTCAATATATATTTTGAAGTGTTATGTAAAATAAATATTAAAATTATGCAAAATTTAAACTATTATAATAACTATTACACAAAAATAGTTTTAGTAAACTATTAATTATGATTATCAGACTGTAATGAAAACGATTTTAAATTTGATACTAATATTATAATAAATAATTAGAAAATATTTTTGAAAGTTATTTTTACTTATTAAAGGAAATATGTATTATCTATTTAAGAAGATATTATTTTTAATTAATTTTAATTGTCTATAAGAATTAAACTGGCTGTATATTTTAAAGTTAATGTTACTACAAAAATTTATTGAACATACGAAGTTTAAAATTTTAATTTTATTTACAGGAAACACACATATATATGCAACGTAAAATAGATAAAAATTACGCAATAAAAGAATAATAATAACTATTATTTGAATTTTGTTTTTACTTTATTATTTAATATATGCCTAACTTGCAATTATGTTGTGTTTTAATTTACTTCCTCCTACGCATAGCAAGAACGCCTCTTGTGCCTTTCAGGAGAATTGGTCGGTAATCCTCAAGACTCTCACCCTAGAGAAAAATACATGCAGCATCCTGCGTAATAGTTCGCATATATATTTCGCGAATCCTAAGCGTACCTGAGTATCTTAATTTTTGGCTTAGAAGTAAAATAATTCCATGAATCTATAATTATATTTCTTTAAATGTGTTAAATATTATACATGTGTAGTCTTTGTGTTTGTGGAAAGAAAGCTGTAAGCTTCTCAAACTTGTGTCACAAGTCTCAACACAATCATACCCATTTACAATCCAGAGTTATTAAAACCCCCAAAACTGTAATCTGGGGCCTAACATGGGGCCCGTATCTGCCTAACATAGTGAACGTATCCGGCTACAAATTGAGTTTTAAAATTTATTTCATATAAAGGTTTAAATCTAATTTAAACTAACTCTAATTAATTTGATCTAAATAACATAACATACAAAGCAGCGTAAAGTGATAATTTGGAAAGTTTACATTCATCAAACATTTAAGTTTAGTAAAAAAGTTTAATGTGTACTAAAATTACTATATAATCTAATAAAAATGCTATTTCAAAAGTTAAATGCTGTTAAAAATGTAACGTCAAAAAATGCTGAAAAAATAATTTACAAAGAAGTGATTTCAAATTAAGAAATAGGTCAATATTGAAGTGAAAAAAATGAAGCTAACACAGTAAAACAATCAAGTTATTTTGGTGTAATTTGCAAAAAGCACAAATACATGTAATAATATATAATAAAGAAATTTAATTATTTTTATTTTTAATGCGAAACGTAAAAATGGCGTGGATCTCTAATTATAAGACATCCCCCTCTTAGAAAAGAATGAATGCATTATATTAAGTACTTCGTAGATAGCCAACGGCCATACCATGCTGAATATACCGGTTCAGCATCATTGGGCGCGGTGAGTACTTGGGTGGGTGACCACCTGGGAACACCGCGTGCTGTTGGCATTCACAAATTTGGGATCTGAATGGCCGAGTGTCTAGCGCTCTGGCGCTCGGTGTCACAGGTTTCGGGTTCGAATCCCGACGGTGCCATGGACGTTTGTAGTGGTTCGGAATCCACTTTAAGCCGTAGGTCCCGGTCTCCTATGACTGTAAGAGTGTCACGGAGCAAAAGTCAGGCTTCTACCTACGGGTGCTCCATCACAACAGAAGCTGCTTCCTTCCCCTTCAATCATGAGTACGTATGGTCTCGTGGGCTTGGCCAGCCAAGTGGGATAAAAAACAACAACAACTTCGTAGATGAAAAAATTGTCATCCTTTATGTCTTCGGAAGAACAGACACAACCCATTTTTGATGTATGATGTAAACCAGGAAATACTATCATACCGTAAACAATGAGGCATGAAATCAAGGCTATATTTCAGCGTACATTTTAAATGGCTTAATGAAGTAGAGCCATCAAGCTCAAAATTAATTTTTTCTGAACAGTTATTTTTTAACTGTCATCTAAATTCTAACCAACAATTCTAGATAAAAAATTCTAAAATATGTTCAATTTGATTCAAATTAATTTATAATCAAATTTTTAGACTGAAATTAATAATATTCATCTAATATGTTTGTTTATATATTTAAAATAATTATACAAAAAGACAAAGACATATCTTAATTAATGAGGAAATAATACTTCACATTTTATATAAATTTTGTTAAATGTAAAGATGCTGCTTGGAAAATTAAATCTTTATAATCTTCTTTTACAGTAAAAGCACAAGGAGCATGATTCCACTGCATTAGCGCTCTATGTAAACCTTAAAAAGAAATTAGAATTACATAATTTTAATGTATGTTATTTATTTTTATCTTACAGAGAAATTATAATTGCATAATTTTAATGCATGTTATTTATTTTTATCTTACTGAGAAATTAGAATTACTTAATTTCGTTTTAAGCCATCGAAATCTTTATATTTCGTTATGCTTTTGTTAATTATTGTTTGCCTAGGAATTATTATAAATAATTTATTCAAATTCTGTAACTATATTTTTTCTAAAATATTTAATAACTTTTAATGGAATTTGAAATGCTTTTTCCTTGGAGTTTCAATAAATTATCGATAAATACATTTCAATGTTATTTTAACACGAGGAATTCAACAATAAAATAATTATTAGAAAAAAATATTTTTAATTAATAAATGTTCTAATTTTATTTATATAATTAAATGTCTGCTTTTTTTCATTCCATTAGGAATACTCGATAATTATTAAATTAGATTTTATTATTTAATAAAAATATATTCTTAATGATGGCTATAAGTAAATAATTACTATTATAAAAAAAAACGCAGTTATCTTTATATAAGCGATTTAGATTCACATAAAGGAAAATAAATTTAGAAGCTGGAATTATCAAACTGCATATCAGTTTTTGAATTATTAAATGTCTCTTAAATATAAAAAACGTCGATATCGGTTAAATTAAAGAAAAATGTTTTAGTAAATCAGAAAGACAGTACCCCTAGTTATTTCTCAAAGTGTTAAAGATGATAGAAACAGCAATAGATAGAAAATTTCGATATTAAGTGAATTTTGAGAATTTCATGCGAATAAAAATGCTGATTCAAACATTAAATGATAATGAAAAAGTGATATGTCTTAACGACACCACTTTTTGCCGCCTTTAAATCATGAATTGTGTCATCATTTCATCACTTAATCACAAATTTATTCACAAATAATTACTAATAATCAAGTAAATTAGTTTGAAACTAGGAAACCCAGTAAGAAATGTAGCTAGTTCTCAGTGTAATTAGAAAAAATAACAAGCTTCAAATCCAATGAAACAAAACTGCAAATTTTAGAATAGAACACCATCATTTAACATAATATATTTTATGTATCGGACTCAGAATTGACATAATTAGCTGAGGTATTTGTTTATTGAGCAACTGTTTATTATTATTATTATTATTATTAATAGAATAAGTATAAATGAAGTAAACACTAAACTTTTCCGTTATATTTAGAAATTTTTCAGTGATGTGTCTTCTTATAAGATATTTAAAAAATATAACTGTTCTGGCAGCTAAATTGTATTATGTATAAAATTTTCAATTTGCTGTGTATAGCAAACTGAACCAAACTATACCAAGCTACGTATAACTAAAACTGTACCAAAATATACCAAAGTATGCCAAACTATATATAACTAAAACTGTACCAAACTATACCAAAGTATGCCAAACTATATATAACTAAAACTGTACCAAACTATACCAAAGTATATTAAACTAATAAATTAATTTTTGATCTCATTTTGGTATTAATATTTTTTTTCAATAGTTATTAAATATTAAAAAAATGCGCATAATTAACCAATTTATTTTACAAATATTGTAAATTAAATGTTATTTTTCAATGAGTAAATATTATATTTATGTCAATTATTATTTTATCTTACATGTGATACAAAATAAAACAACATCTAATACATGTTGACACGAAGTAACATATCAACATTTATCCTTCGTGACACGGCTGAGGTTCAATTATTAAGAGTTTTGTTGAGAAAAAAAGTGGTATCAAAGAGACGACTGCAAAGAAACATCGGAGTTTATTGCTTTATTGGGAGCTACAACATTTCCTCGTGTACAATCTTAAATGAACAGGATACGTGATATGATTCTTACTTACAGTTCTCATAAAAGTAAGAAGAAATAGTGAATATAATGTATGTTTGTTAACGGTAAAGCTGAAGCGTTTTGTACTCCATCATATTATACATTAAAGTGTATTGTAACATATTGTTTACATATTTATGCTACTTTGCTCTAATGAAGGTATGGTATAATGTCTTATATTTAAATACTTTATTTAATCAAAATACAAAAATATATAAATTAATGAAATATTTCTATAAATTAATGAAAAATGCTTTTCTTAAATAATAAAAAAATCAATTGAATTAGATTTAATTTTTTTTAAATCATACCTTTCTGCCACCATTTTCTTTTATTGTTATATGAAACTGCATAAATAACATATCACTTACATATATTAAATACGCACTACTGTACATATTGTAACGTCTCAGCCTATAACGGCTTCAAGAAGAGAGCCACTTTCAGGTTCATGGGAACACTTTACAGCCGTCATATAATTCCATATCATTTTTCATTTGTATATATATAAATGAAAATTTAACAAAATACGCTGAAGTCAATTTGATTCACAAGTGCAATTCACTCCAAGATTGGAGATTTGTGTTTCTCGAGTCTACGACGAATATAAATGCCAGGTCTGTGGCAGACCTTCATTATCACATAGAGTGAAACACGAAACCACAAGAGGTTCACTTTGAAAGCAGGCGGAAACTTCAGCCTATTAAGTCACTTCAGAGAAAATGAGTAAAACAACACTTGACCTGTATACATCAACCTGTCGACCTATG